ATTTATGGTACGATAAGAAAAATATTTGTCTACACAGGAATGTTCTGATTACGTTTTACTGCTAAGCTCTGAAGCCAATTTTATTGTATAATGGAATTGAGCAAATATTTCTGAACCAGAGGAACTTTAACCAAACCTTATTGACGTATATCAATGCTTACAACTAATTATTAATTTTGTGCTAATGCTAATCGCCCGGTGATATTTCTATATTTTATGAATAACGATTTTAAGAAACTTCCCATCGCGGTAAAAATTTGACTGCGTATAAACTAAATATTACGGTTCATATTTCCCTTTACGTTTTCATTTACGGTTCGAAAAAACACACATTATAACCCTGTGAAAATTCATTCGCGTCGCTCGGGATCTATTTTTAAATGCACCGTGTGGACGAACAGGTGTATCTACGCGATAAGATCATAATAGAGCTATATGCTCGGGATGTAAAACCCGGGGATTTTGTTGTAGTCAACTTCGTGCAATGCACGATGATGCTCTCCCGATAAAAGCAAACGCGGAAGTTTAGCACACTGCCTTTTTTAGTCCGGGACAAATTTTGAAAGTTCATGAATGAATGAAATAATTAAAAAGATGTAGTCGAAATTTGATGCAGAGACGCAGAGCAGAAAAATTTTCGATTTAAGTTGAATTTATATCATTGCTTTCGTGTAAAAATCAATTTTTTAGGGAAATATTACGTCACTTATTATCTTTTCGTTATAGCGTTTTGTAATTTCATCAGACAAGGTGATGTGTATTGTTCCTACTGCATTAATTTTATAATTTGTATTATTCAATACTGAAGTTACTACATATTGCCTTATAAATCGTCTTACCTTTTTTTTTCTTAACCGTGAAAGTGGAGACTTTTAATGATGTTGATCTTCTTTTACTGGTGCAGATGATCTAGCAGGATCAGCGGATAATAAAATAAAAAAATGGGTTTTTTTTAATCCAAAAAAGAGATTAATTAGTATTTTACCTGTAAAGTAGGAATAAGGCCGACTGTAAATTTTCATTGTGAGCTGAATATCCGGCTAGTGAAATGTTGCAATCTTACGGGTGCTTGTTGAAAATGGAGCTATGTAATATACTACAAAATGAAATAGCTTGGTCAAAATTGACTTACAATGTCATACAAAGATATACGAGGTTAGCGCCAAAATTTCCCGGCCTGACATAAATGCAGCTCCATTATCATGATAAAACTTTGTCTTCTTTTAAATATGTATCTTAGTAGGCTGCGAAAAAAGAATTGAAGTCTTGCGTCAAATAGTTTTTTATTGGCAGCATTTTAAACATGACGTGTCCGAAAAAATGTTGCAAATAACGCAAATTGAGTATAGAGCAGTCATAAAGTTTTTGACAAAAGAAGGGTTAGCACCTAAAATTATTAAAGAAAGGCTGGACGGTGTGTACGGCCAAAGTTCTCCTTCGTAGTCTGTAGTGAAAGAATGGGCAAAACGTTTTCGAATGGGGCAGGAGTTCCTTGAAGATGATTCAAGAATTGGTCCACCAGTGGAGGCCATAACGGAAGATACTGTTGCGATTGTGGAAGAGGTGGTACTGAGTGATCGACGTTTAAAGGTCAAGGAAAACTCAGAAATTACTAAGTTTTCTGATACAAGTGTTCGTCGAATCCTGCATGATCATTTAGGTATGTATAAGGTTAGTCCAAGATGGATTCCTAAAAACCTTTCGGCTATTCAAAAACAACGAAGTGTCGGGTGTGCGCGGTCTTTTTTGGAACTCTGTGGGTCGGATCCAAAGTCTGTGATAGAAAGTATTGTGACGGGAGATGAAGCTATAGTTCTCTATTATAACTCTCTATCGAAAAAAGAATCAATGGAGTGAAGTCGTAAGGGTGAAGCACTTCCAAGAAAATTCAGAGTCTGCCAGTCAACAAAAAAGGTGACGGCCACGATCTTTTGGGATTGTGAAGGAATTGTTTTGATAGATTTTAAAGAAACTAATACCGCTGTCAATGGTTAATATTACGCAACATTATTACATAAATTGCGAGACTGCATACCTGTAACACGTCGAGGAAAACTGACCAGAGGCGTACGTCTTTTGCACGACACAAGCGACCATTTTCGAGTGTGGGTTCCAACAGATAGATCATCCTCCCTGTAGTCAAGATATGGCCCCCAGCGGCTATTATTTGTTTGGATATTTGCAAAAGGACTTACGTGGACGGCGTATAACGACGAAGTTGAGTTAAAAGAGGCTGTTTTAGCTCATTTTGCAGACAAACAAAAAGAATATTTTTTTAAAGAGAATGAGTTAATAAAAAATGTAATAAGTGTATGGAAGTTAAGAGGGATTATATTGAAAAGTAATAAAAAGTTGTTACTCTACTTTAACCCTCAAACAAGAATTTTACACGCTCTGGATACGTTAAAACAAATTAAACACTACACTGCAAATTATAAATCATCAACTTTTAGATCTGTAGTATCTGTTTTGAACATTGCGTAGTTGAGGGTGGCTTCTAAAAAAACAGTCATTGACGATTTACTCGGGTTTAGTTCAAGTAGCTGATCGGATGTGTTTTTATAAAGTCAATTCTAGACCCAGCAGTTCCTTGCTCAAGAAAAGAAAAACGTTTTTTTTACAAAACTTCTGGATTCATTGCTAAGCTAAGCAAGTTCGACTCGGCAAATACCGACGCAGGAGGAATCCAGAAATTTTGTAAAAAGTATTACAGTGGCCTGTGGAAGTTTATTTGAAAAAAAAACGTATTTTCGTACCATAGCATGAGGCAACGAAGTTGAATAATAAATAAATTAATAAATAAATAAATTAATAAAACCACCTTCATTTTAAGCTCGGCGAAGGACTGCTGATCTGTTAACCAAGTATGTAGCAAGACAACGCAAACTTAATTTAGAATACCAATTTTACATTACAAAAATCAAAAAAGAAAGAAAATAAGAGACATCCTGTGATTTCTCAAAGTCAGTCTTTTCAACAAATATGAGGCACATCCTTTTTTAAATAGTTTGTGAAGAAAACAAGCAAAATGAAATTCTTCTCGGCTCGATATATTTAACCATTTTAAATCGTGAAGTTTATGGCTTATATGATCTCTTCGTTTGAGGTTATAAATAAATGGAATTCAGTAATTCTGTACTTTTTGTAATTAACATCCCAGCAGGGTCCATAGACAAAATTACTGCAACTTAACTTAAAGTTTAGAATATGTTTACTTTTATAAATGTTGCGCAAATTAATATAAGCCTTTTGGAGAATTTTGGAAACCTGCGTATGAAATGAGTTCATTATCAAAGATGACACCCAAGTTTTTACGTCAACTGCTGACCCTAAGCCCATTTATAAATATATCCAAGTTTTGGAGTGCCCAATACTTAGCTGGTACAATAGTATATTATGCAACAAGTGCATTTGACTCACGAGTTTATTTGGCACGAGTGGAGCGAGTGCTTAATAACAGAGTGAGATAAAGAGTTTACCAAACGTGTTGCATACTGTACTTTTTCTACGACCGTCACGTAAAACAATTTAACAAATAAAAAATAATAACAGATAACAGGATTACTAAATTTCGTACTATTTTGTTGACTAGTTGACATTAAACTTACTCGTTTATCATTCCGATCGGTTCTGCTATTGTTGTCTCTTTTTAACTGTGTACGTAAGGCAGAAGGAGATGTATCATTGGATATGTCATATTAACAATGGAATAAACACAATTTTAAAACGTTATGTTTTTTATTTAACTTTTGCAATTGATCATTAAATAGTTTATTTAAAGATAATTGTAAGAAAAATCATCAAATGATGGAGCTTTTAAGAGGATTAAATTTTTAAGATCGTGTAAGCAAGAAAAAGCAGGTCCTAGCCTTTAATTTTGTTTTGTTTGTACTGATGAGACATGGATATTCGAAAATGGTACAATTAGTCCTGGCAAGATATCAATATAAAAACTGTAAAAATCACTAAAGTTCATGCAAACGGTATGCAAATTTCTGAAGGAAACTTAAATTATAAATGTCACTTTACTAACCGACACTAGTCTACTAGATTTTGATTGTAATTTATAGCAAGTAGTATTTCAATTGTCTGATATACTGCATGATATTTTTCTGTGTATTAGCTTTTGGGCACATTTTTGCAAAACAACACCAATACATTCACTGACATGACCGTCAGAAGTGACAAATGTCAAAATTCAAAACGTGGGAAATATCTCCGAAAACATCCGATTGCTTCCAAATTCGTGTGGTATAATCCCGGAAATGTCCGAAGTGGCTGGGATTCGTGCAAGCTTAGTCGAATTTAATTTCAAGCCATGATCATTTGAGTATATAAAGACCGATTCCAAGCATTTATTTAGTCTTCTTGTCGCTTCCGTCAAAAAGAATTGAAAACATGCATGCATCTCTATGTTATATACGTAATGTAACATCAAAACTAGCAATTTATGGTTAATCATATCGAAAGCTTTGCTAAAGTCGAGAAAAATCAAGCCACTAATTTTACATTACTCCCGTAGTAAATCATCAGCAATATCAGTCAGCCCACTTTCACAGCTATTATTTTTTATAAATGCTGATTGGTTTCTAGCAGAGAACACAGTAATCGGTCTCAATTGAATAAATTTTCTCATATTTCCAAGATTATCACAGGTGTAATAAAAGAACATCACAAGTGTAACGGTGTACTACAAAAATAACAAATAACAATTCAAAGCAAGTGGCTGAATTTTTCATGGTTGTTACCTGGAATTCAAGAAGAAGATAGTTAAAAAAGCTGAAGTGTGTTGTAAACCAATATAAGTTCGATAGTATTCAAAAATAGCCGAAGACCTGAGTCCTTCTTGTAATAATACGCCACCGATTATAGAGTTGGTAATATTGTTATCAATTTTATTATGAAAATACTAGAAAACATAGTCAGGTCGATATTAAAACTTTCAGAATCCGCTGGAAGATGATGCAGAGTTAAATCTTGCAATATAAAAAACGACTTACTTGTAACTTTAAGTTCTACGAGAATGCTAATAGGCGGATGAGTCGAAACTTGACACTCATATAAGCCAGCGTCCGAGGGCTGGACGTGCTTTATGAGCAATCCCCAATTTTGAAGATGGCGAACATGTTCCACCATAAAGCGATCGTCGGTGTTATAAGTTGTTAAGCCGACTGTGAGTAAGTGATAGTCCTGCTTTCGTATCCACGACACCTGCAACAAATAACAAAAATGAAGTATGGTGACGATTTTAGAACATTGGCCCGATATAAGTTTTGTTATTATTATTTTTATTATTACTATTATTATTATTATTATTATTATTATTATTATTATTATTATTATTATTGCTATTATTATTATTATTATTATTATTATTTTGATAAATGGACGACGATTAAAGTTTAACAGTTACACTAGAAAAAAGTTGTCAATTATTAATATATTAAAGGGGGTCAGTAAATCAGTCTAAGCGACAGGATGGAATTAAATCTCAAGCAGAAAAAAAAGGCAAGTGTAAACATAAAATGTAATTTGTAAACCTAATCAGAAACAATATGATAATGCCATGAGAGCAGTTTAAATAACTTAAAGACCACTGCCACTTGAATATATTAGGTAAAAGTACATGCTGGACAGTAAAGGTTACTTAAAAAAAGATTTTTTTAACTCCAGCATGTCTATATTTTGGCTGAATTCCAGGAAAAACAAAATTTGAAGAATACAATTCTGCGTTTCGGAACAACACTTTTTCGTTATTTTGTAAGTTGCGTACGCTTGTAATGAATTTGATTTTTTTTAAATAGATAAAAGGAAGCAAGACATGCAGCAAATTAAGTTCTACCTTCCCATCTATTAATCCAATTAGCAAGTGTATCCAGTAGCTTGTATAATATTGGAAACTCATGTCCGACTCGACACATCAAAAGTAAACAGGAGTTTCAGACAACCTTTCAGAAGTCATTTCAATACTAAACAAAAAGACATTAACAAGCCTCTTAATTGTTGTATATTCCCTATTTTGAAAATTTATTGGAAAGGCGCACTGAAGCAAATTTTCGATACTGGCATGGTCTGAGTTGATACAAATCTGGTTTGTACTGAATTTCTCATTGTTTTTTACAAATTTTGTTAAGACAGTTAAACAGTCCGATGAATGTTTGGGTGTAGATTTTGTCAACACATTCGCTTTAGTAAAAACTTCCTAAGAAGAATATAGTTTGTTTTTCAATAACACATTTTTTAAAACGCGTTTCTGGCCAATTGATAGCGGTTGAAGAGCCCTATTCTAATAAGGAAACTCTGACAAACTTTAAAGCAATATATAAAATTTATGGAGTAACTTGCGAAGTTCCAATCAAAAACTACCACTAAAATGTTATTTTTTGGTTGAATTTATGCTAAGATCGCACTTATAATACGTGTTATAACTTGAGCAGTCAAAATTATGAATTTTTATTCTGTGCAGGTCTGGCAGTGACAATAGACTATAATCTAGCTATTTCTTTACCAGACTTATTCAGCCGTTGCAAAGTATTTTAAACGATAATCAATGCCTCATTATTCGCATAGCAGACAATACAATGTAAAATGGAAAATATTCCCAACGAAATAGAGCGGCTCAGGGTGTCACCTACTCCTAGCTTTTTGCAATTTATCTTGCAATTATGATTTAATCAGATTTCTACTAGCTCTTTGATACTTAAGTACTCCAGTCTCTCCAGCAAGATACGTTGTGACACTGTCGAATACCTTGGCTAAATCGAGTAAAACGGTAACACACTTTTTGCTATCATTAAACGGTCTGACTGTGCTGTAAGCCACCTTGGTGTGTGTTTTTTTTTTAAAGTTTTTTAGCCAAATTTTGATGGACTTTCCAAGGGCTTTACGCGCACTATGGACTAGTGCATTAGCCTTGAAATTTGGCATTTGATCTCTCGAACCTGGTAATAATGGATTCCTTAAAAATATCCGGGAAGAATCCCTAGCAAATGACGAGCTTAACCAAATACAATGGCGGCGTAATAAAATATTTATAGATTTTTCTAATAAGAATCCGTATTTTTAAGCGATTTTATTATTTGTCTTACTTTTTTTTCTAGTATTGGCGACAAAAGTACAGTCAAATTTCTTTTTTTCTTGCTTAAAACTTAGATTTTTTGATCCTTAGTTTATCCCCGCAAGCATTCCCCCCACATTACTAAAATACTTATTGAACTCCTCGGATTATCCGTGATTTCATTGGTAAGTTGTAAGCAGTTTACGGTAAGATATGTCCGTAGTGATCTCCCTTCCTTATTAGTATTCGAACTTCTACTTCTAACTAATTCAAGCCTTGTGTTACTTAAAATCGCCTTCCAAGATGTGAATTTTGCGAGGTAAGGCGATGCGTGCGTAAGAATTTCTTCATCAGTATTTCAAATGGTTAATTCTATCACGACGTCTACCATTTAATAGAAGTTGCGCTGGTCGAACAAACATTCTTGCTGTTATTATCCATTTTCTCTCGCTAACGTTATATATTAAGGCGTCGGGTTTTACTTGATTCGTCACTGAATTGAGAAATGCCTGTAGATCCACTAGGTTTTTAGCCTGGTAGAGTCATATTCTTAATATTTTCTTTTAAGATTTTTAACCCCTCGTTTCTGTCCAATACCGATTCCTAATCATTTTCCTCATAATAAACGTTGAGCAATGGGAATCGAGCTAGTACAGATAATTGTAGATCTAGATATTTATATAATAAATTATGTTGTAGTTGATCAAAAGTTTTTAAGAGCATATGGAGCAAATAAATACGTTTTTCCTGGACTCACGTATCTTCTAAATAAAAAGTCTATTAGAGAAGTGAGCTTCTCTCGTTCAGAGTATATTTCGAAACCCGAATTTCTAATCACTCGTCAAGTGGTCACTTGAAAGTGTGGCTTAAAAAATCCTTACTTCTACTGGTCATAATTTCCTTGGGCGAAGTAATAAAGCACGCACGTTTTTCTATATTCATTACAATGGTACGTCTATTGATGGACCACTGCCCCCTTAATATACATCTAAGGCTAATCGGAGTATAAGAAAACACTCGACGCAGGCAATGGGCTACACCAAAGTCGTGGAGGCTGGTCAAAAAGACGAGTCTAGATAACGCTTTGTAGCTATCGAGGGACTCGCAATCGATCATCTGGGTGGCAGTGACTGACAGGCAGATTGCTGGCTATGAAAATCTGAATCTAGTCTAATCTAATCTCATCATCGTAATTTTAACCATTGCCGATATACCAATACGGTCCCTATGAGTCAGCTAGATCCGCTATAGGGAAAATATAAGAAAGTAATTTAAGAACTGAAAATACGAGAACGAAACTCATGTTTAGGAGTTTAATCTTCGCAAGTACATATAAAAATATCACTAGACGATTACGGTGTGTATTTACAAAATTGGTAGCGGCTCCTTTTTCAATATTTTCGTTGGGGGTTTTTTGTATTTTTATGTGGTTATCGCTTATCGGGCTTTTAACCCTTCAACCTTTTCCAGTTCACCGAACCCCTGAAATCTTTTCAATATACGCTCGAGCTATGTACTCAAGTGACACGTTAAACAGAAATTTTCTAACGCCCATATCCGGTACCTGTCAAGTTTGCTACAATGTTCGATTGATTTTTACACACCATTAAATTTACTCAGCCGCTGGGGATAAAGCGAAGGGTCTGACGTTAAAAAAGATGACCTTACGGATATGTACGTTAAAGGTTAAAGCGATAAGCGTATTATATTATTTTCTAGCCGTATTCCGAATTGATCCGTTGATAAAATGTTTCAAAAATGGTTAACCGCAACAAGGTGTATCAAAATACTGGGAGAATATTACTAATTTCGCTGAATTAACTAGCTCAACAAAGACAAATTCAAAGTTTACCAAAAAAATTCATTGGTTCAGTCACGCAAACCGTTTATTCATTTTACTAGTGTTAATTATCATTAGCTGGGTACATTCAATTCTTGAAAGATGCGAATTCATCGTGACAAGAAAATAAAAATTAATAATAGTTTATTTATATGGTGTATATCAACTTAAGTGCCAATTCAGTTAAAATATGTTTAAGATGGCGACACTCCCAGAAATGGTTGCTTTAACCCCTTATATATTATTCCTTTTTTCAAGAAAATTCTCCAAACCTTCAAATATGTCTTGCATCGCCACCTTTACAATATTTTAACTACATACATCCCAACAATTTTAGTTTTTACCATGTGACATGAAATTTTACTAACACCGATGGGTGTAAACTTGAGGTAACATCAAATACGAATGGAGAAACGGATTGAATAATGTCCGTTTTTCCTACTTTTGAACGAAATATCCGCACAAGTGTCATATTGCCAAAAATAAAATATAGGTTTTAGTTAATTTAAGTGAGCAAATTTTTCAGAATTTCTGAGAAACAAGTCAGAATTTTTGAGAAACATGTCAGAATGTCTAGGAACATGTTAGAATTTCTGAGAAAAATGTCAAAATTTCTGAAAAACAAGTTAGAATTTCTCTCGTAAGACATACAGGGTAATTTATGCAGAATCTTTAACCTCGAAATACTAGAAACAAAAATATTATGATTGACATTTACGAATTTTAAATTTATTTGGACGTTGTTACTAGTTTCACCATATCAGAAACCAGAAAGAATTTTCAATTTTTATTGAATTATTTGAATTTAAAAGTTCAAATTATTTTTTTTATAGGTATGGGGAACAACATTATATATATATATATATATATATATATATATATATATATATATATATATATATATATATATATATATATATATATATATATATATATATATATATATATATATATATATATATATATATATATATATATATATATATATTCTCACGTATTGATTCACGGATGGAAAAATGTGATGACACTATACTCCGGGATATCATCCGTTCGCTCGTTGAACTCCGACTGGAATCCTGCATCCGACTGGAATCCTGCAAATCCTGCATCCGACTGGAATCCTGCAGACGTTTCGCCAAAATCTCACTTGGCATCTTCAATGCTCGCGCTCCGAAAACACTTCGAACACTGGGAGGTTATCGGCGGTGCGTGCGGTATTTATACTCTGCGCCGGAGATGGTAACGGTGCTGCTTGTGCGTGGGGGGAGGTGGCTCCGCCCCCTGAATTGTCGCGTTGTTAATTTCGCCCGATCG